ATCTCTTTTTGAGTTAGTCTACTGCAGTTAAAGTGAGCATAGAAGAGGACAGGCAGCTCTGACCAGCAAGGCACCCAATTCACCAGGGCTTTATCCCACAAATACCACACAAGAAAGCTACCATTCTTGTGGAACATCTACTCATTTCAGTGGGGTTTGTGCAGGAGAGCTTCCTAGTTGAGCCAATCCTATGTGGGATGGCGGAAAGCATATGCATGCCATTTAAGGATGGGTGAGGCTTGGGCAGCAAAATGTCTTGGGTAGGCCCTGCACACATAACAGAGAACGTTCTCCAAATGACAATACTAAAATGTGTTACTAACAGCCATGGGTGCATTATGCCCACTGTGGCACAAAGCTGTTCCTACCCAGAGGGCTTGCAGCCTACATGCCTGGGAGAAAGAACAAAGCTCTTCAGGGACTGGAAATGGTGGGGGGTGTAGGGGGGAGTCAAGTAGAAAGGCAGGAGAGCTAAAAGGATAATAATTTGATTTTAGTCATTTATATTCCATCACTTGTCAAAAGGCACTGAGTAGACATACATCTGTGCAACATTGTTGTTATTTAGTCACGAAGTCGTGTCCGACCCATCGCAACCCCATGGACAACATTCCTCCAGGCCTTCCTGTCCTCCACCATCCCCTGGAGTCCACCCAAGCTCACACCAACTGCTTCAGTGACTCCATCTAGTCACCTCATCCTCTGCCAGGCCCCTTTTGCCATCTATTGTTCCCAGCATTAGCTCTTCTCCAGGGAGTCCTTCCTTCTCATTAGGTGGCCAAAGTATTTGAGTTTCATCTTCAGGATCTGGCCTTCTAAAGAGCAGTCAGGGTTGATCTCCTCTAGCACTGAACAGTTTGATCGCCTTGCGGTCCAAGGGACTCACAGGAGTCTCCTCCAGCACCACAATTCAAAGGCCTCAATTCTTCAGCACTCAGCCTTCCTTATGGTCCAGCTTTCACAGCCATACATTGCAACTGGGAAAAACCATAGTTTTGACTATACAAAATTGTTGGCAATGTGATGTTTCTGCTTTTTAGTATGCTGTCTAGATTTACCATAGCTTTCCTCCTAGGGAACAAGCATCTTTTAATTTCTTGGCTGTAGTCACCGTCTGCAGTGATCCTGGAGCCCAGGAAAATAAATCTGTCACTACCTCCATTTCCTCCCCATCTATTTGCCAGGAAGTGAGAGGACTGGATGCCATGATCTTAGTTTTCTTAATGTTGAGTTTCAAGCCAACTTTTGCACTCTCCTCTTTCACACGCATCAAGAGGCTCTTTAGTTCCTCTCCACTTTCTGCCATTAGAGTGGTATTGTCTGAGTATCTGAGGTTGTTGATATTTTTCCCGGCAATCTTAATTCCAACTTGTGATGTGCTCTGCATATAAGTTAAATAGGCAAGGGGACAATATACAGCCTTGTTGTACTCCTTTCTCAATTTTTGAACCAATCAGTGGTTCCATGTCCAGTTCTCACTGTTGCTTATTCTATGCAACATTACAGAAAATCAAAACAAAGCAATGGTAAAATTTAACGAGGCAGGAACACAGAAAGCTGGCTTATGCAAGATTTCGGGCAGGGTTTTTCACTTCATCCTGCTGTCTGGCCCTTCCTGGATACTGACAGGGGTCAAAGCTAAGATTATCAGCATACAATGTATATGCTCCAACACTGAGCTATCCTAATCCAGGTACTACAAGAGGTTTGTAAAAAAAAAAAAAAAACAATGCTAGAAAAATAATTTGTAGCCTTTCCCAGCTTGATGCCCCCGAGACATCTCAGCTGCTTGAATTCGTGCCATTGATCTTCAGAATAGCAGAGTTTCTGCTCCAGCTCACAGACTCCTTTTACTAATTCCATGTTTCTCATTTTGAAGACATATAATCTGTTAGATGGCTCTTCAGGTATGCTAGATCAACACGAACCTATCTGTAGGAATGCTCCAAAACTGTGGGTAGGCAAGCTTTAGGTTTGCCAATTTGGGCAGCACCACCAAATGGGCAGCCTGCAGAGGAAAGCATCGGCCTGCAGCCACCAGCCAAGTTCATTTCCGAAGAAAGTCTCTAAGCCCTACATGAATATTGGAGCAGCTGGGGGCCTCGATGGCAGTGAACCCAGCTGCCAGTGTGAAATATTATTCCATCAACATATAAAATAAAAAGAAGGGGTACAGTGCCTAAGTGGGCACCAGGAAAGCATTGCCTACCCCTGCTCTGAAAGTAGGTGGAAGTAGCGCAGAAGAAGGGTGCCTGGAACATGTTCCATCAAGGGGACTGGGACCTTGAAGTGGATTGGGAGCTATTATAAGGATCTAAGGACTAAAGTGATGTGATTGCAATGAAAGAGGGAGAAATACTAGTTTAGCATTCTGAACTGAGTGAAGAGGGGAAATAATGCAGGACAACAGGGAAAGCCACCAAGGCAGATGATGCAGATGTTGCAGGCCAGATGTGAGGTTAGGTCACCACAATGTGGAGCAAGCCTTTTAGCAGCAGCTGCAAAGAGGAAAAAGCCGCTTAAGAGCTGCCTGGGTGTGGGAGAAGTGAGACTGGAGATGACTTAGGCTAAAGAATTGCTGCCGAGATTGGTCTATTTAAGGCAAAATCCCTGATGCAAGAGTCACGGAGAGGAACAACTTTATCTCAGTAGTAAACTGAAACTGCATTATTTCAGATACATAAACAGAAATAAGATATTCTTTAATCAAAAGATAGTGCTTGTGATCACAAACCAGAAGAGGAAAGTGGGAGGGACAAAGCAGTGAGAGGCTCCAGATGTGGAAAGAAATGACTGTCTGGCCGCATGGAAGAGCCTTGGGGTGGGAACCAGAGGCTCGCTCTGTTCCCGGGTCCTCTGGGATGTATGGAAAAGAGAGAACCCCACCAGTGCATGAGGAAAATCGGGGCTTGGGAAGTGGGGGATTCATGGTGACTGGCCAGGACCTTACTGACCACAGGAAGCAAGAACCTGCATTCCAACCTTCCCCACCCTCCCATGGCAGGGATGATGAGAGCTGTAGTCTGACATGCTAGGAGGATGCCAGCTCGGGGAAGGCTTTCCCAGCTGATGTTACTTGACTTGCCCAAGAAGATCTCTGCCACCACTCGTGTGGATTTCCCTCGCCACCCATTCCAGACAAGTCTTGGCAGAGCCCGCTGGCACCCTTGGCAGAGCAGTGTGACAGCTGCTTGGGGGCCAGTCCCATCCCGATCCTGGATTGAATGGAGGGCAGCAAGAGGCAGCGGCGAGTGCTGGCAGCGTCAGCCCCACTCTGGTGGCCCAGGGCCCTGGGCCGGGTTCCAGGCTGTTAATCCAGCCCTGGAGGCAGGGATTTGCAAACTCTGTTGCACAATCAGTGGTGCGGTGGGCACACTCGCACTCCCTCACACACTTCCTGCTGTGACTTATTCATCATTAGTCTCTTGTGGTTGAGCGAAGCAGCTTTTTCCATTCTTGCCCCTCACCCTGCCACCTCCCTGGCGTAATGGAGTCATTAACAGGATGAGTCGTATGTTGGGGGCCTTCTTCACATCTTGCCTCAGCTGTGGATTTACTAGGTGGTCATGGGCAAGCTATTGGCCATGCTGGCTAGGGATGATGGGTGTTGTAGTCTGATGTGTCTGGAGGGAGCCAGGTTCTGGCAGTCTGGATAAGAGTGTCAGATTAGGCCCAAAGAGGCCTGAATTCAGTTACTTGGCAGGAAGAGTGGCAAATAAACACAATATGTATCTTAAATAAACTTCTATCTTCTCAGTCCCTCATCCCACCCTGGGCTGCAGCATAGGGGTGCATACAACCAAATGGAGTAGTTGGAAGGATCACTGAAGTAGTACACGAGAAGTGCCTTGAACATTCTTAAAGGCCATCTACTCATTACTAAGCATCATTATTTGCCAAAACCCTTAACTTGCCGAGGGCATACCTGCTTTTCCGCACGTGGGACTATCCTAAGGTGTGTGTGTGTAGCAGGAGATCTGATTTTCACAACCAGTGTAGTGTGAGCAGGAGGCCAGCTGAATCCTCCATTTTCTCCCAGCTTTACTCCCCTGCCCCAAATACACACACATACTTCCAGTATCACTGTGGGGCAAATTATCTGTGCAGTGAAACGCAGGAATATTAAATGGGAATGAACTCTGCTCTGCTCTCCTTGTGCAGCCCCCACACAGGAAGAGAGAGAGAGAGAGAGAGAGAGCACACACGTCATATGGGGATAGGGACGCTGTGTGAATAAAAAGCATGGCTGCTGCCATGACATCTCCTTTGACTCTCAGGGTTATCCCCCAGACCCCAAGTCACTGTGTGAGTGAGTTTTACGGCTGCACAGGCCTTGCTGAGACGGAGCAGCAGTCCTGAGTTGCGCTTCCTCGCCTCTGTGCCACTGCTACTACCCCCCTTCTTGGTTCCTTCTCTTTGGACACCTTCTCTGTGCACCCCAGTGGCTCACTTCCTCGCTCACGGAGCTCTGGTGAGCACACCACAATGCGAAAGAGGAGCAGCAGCTTTACTAGGGATGGATTTGGGGATGCGAATCCAGGGCTGCACAGCCCAACTTGAAGATGATTGCCAGAAGAGAGAGTGGCAACTGATGCGAAGTGGGGAGGAAGCAGCCACAGGCGCCGTGCTGGCACCCAGCATGGGCAAGCAGGTGTGTGCCAGGACTGACACCAAGCAGCACACAACGTCCTTTGAAAAAGAGTTTAGCCAGGAGGGTGCACTGTCCAGTGAAATACATGTTGTTGAGGCTTTGGTCACCCCGGCTGGAGCCACTGTGGAGAAGCAGGGCCAGAAGAGTGCAGAGCTTGGCAGTGAGACACCAGGTGCCCAGAACAAGGCCTCAATCCGTGTCTGAAAATACTAACACCAGCCCTGTTGATAATAGATGGCAAGAAAGTTCCTGGTTCTGAATGTTTTAAGGGACACACATCTTCAGGCCCCTTCACAGCACAGCCTGCCCTCTCTCTCTATTCCTTGCCTTGTGTGCTCTCTTATCTTAGCCTTGCAGCTGCCATGATGGAACAACTTCTCCTGTTGATGCCGCTCCTGGGACTGGTGAGCAGCAACCTTCCCTTTGTGCAGAGAGGCTTCTGGGACTTCTCCATGGATGACCCCAATGTCCAAGAAGAGGAAGAGGCTTCAGGGATTTTCCCCGTTTCGAGCGGGGCTGAGTCTGAAGAAATCATCCCCTTCTACCCAGGCCTCTGTCCATTCGGCTGCCATTGCCAACTAAGGGTGGTGCAATGTTCAGACTTGGGTGAGTATTTGTGTTTGTTGAGGTAGGCAGGGGCAGAGGTGCTGGTGAAGCCAAACACAGCTGGGTTCTAGGATTTGTGCTGGAGGTTTCAATTCTATGACCAGAAATTCAAAGTGAGGGTAAGGAAATCAGAGGCAACACAGGAGCTGAAAGTATGAGGTTGCAAACCATTGCTTTAGAACCTGAGCTAAGATTGTTCGGAAATGTTTATGAAGATAAGGAGAGCCCTGCCGAATCAGATGAAAGGACTAAATAGTTCGGCATCTAGTTGCCCAGAGAGGACAACCAGATGTTCAGGAGCAGCCCAAAAGCAGGACATGATGGCGCTAGCCCACCCCTGCATTTGTCCTCTTATTTGAGCTACCACATGCCAGTATGCTGTTGCAGACCATTTCCCTCTGACTTTTTTTCAAATAAAAAGGTAAGTCAGAGAAGATTGCAGTGAAGAAAGGAATGCAAAAGGATAACTCTTTTCCTTCAGGCCATTTTCTTCTCTACCCCACTCCCACAAGATGCTTCAGTGTAATAGGGGAAAAGATAGGGAGACTTTGGAAAATGAATTTATTATTACATTATGCCCACCATGTGCAAGGAACTCATTGTGGTTTTTATCCTTACAACATCCCTCTGAAGTAGGTTAGAAGCCTTCTCTCTTCCCATTATCCCAAAGGTACGGGATCAAGAGAGTTCTTGTCCAAATCCAGAGGAGGGCTTTTTCTGCGGTGGCGCCCAACTTATGGAACGCGCTCCCCAGAGAGGTCCACCTGGCGCCGTCATTATTTGCTTTTCGGCGCCAGGCTAAGACCTTTTTATTTAAACGTTATTTTAATTGTTAATTTTATTTATTGATTTTAACACTTTTGCCAGGATGTCTCCGATATTTTATGTAATTGTATCATTTATATTTATTTATGATCTGGAAGCCACCCCGAGGCTTATGCGAATAGGGCGGCATATAAGTTCTCCAAACAAACAAACAAATATCATTTGCAGAGCAGTTAAGTTGCCAATTCTTGCGCTTCTCTGCATAAATTCTGTGCAGACCCAACACAGCTGGGATTAGGGGAAATCCACCCATTGCCCACACTTACTCTATAGCAAACCTTCTCATAGGATGCTATTTTGCTGGCCTGGTCACATATCTTTGGCTCGCAGAAACTCCCAACATGTTGTAAGAAGTACCAGAATTGAATAGGAGGGAACCACAAGACAGAGAAGGGTGGCCAGGACCTCTGTCTTTTTCAAGTAGCCTAGCATTTCACGCTGCAGGCTGCCTAGCCTAAGACGTTTATGGCACTCTATCCCCCCCTGCTGGTGATTATGCTAAATACCAGTTAGGAGGTCAAAGAGTTGCTCAGATTTACCATCCAGAAAGGAAATGTGAATCAAAAGATCATTCTAAACTGACCAACATATTGTGAAAAAAGGTATTAAACACTATTTGTCATTGTTTGAAAACTGTGTGTTGATGGTGGTGCTGGACATAGTTGGATGGTGGATGGACATAGTCAACGCTGGTTGTGGCTTTATTTTTGGGGGTCAGGGTTAGGAAGGCCAGGGACAGGGGGCTTCCGCACTCTCAACAGCATAGGTCACTCTTCCCCAGCCTGGTCCTCATCCAAATGAGTCGCCATCCAACACACATCCAACACACATCAGGTTGGGAAAAGCTAATGTAGATGGTAGAAAATGGTAAGTGCCATTGCCCTCTTCTGCACAATGGCAAAAAGTGCAGGAGACCCGTCTTGTCACCTGCAGCTGGCCACCCTTGAACTCCGTCATGATTGAACCTTCCCATTCCTAACCTACCTCTCCATCCATCCACCTTTACCTGCTTCTTCTAGGTCTCAAATCAGTGCCTAAGGAGATCTCACCAGACACCACATTGCTGGATCTACAGAACAACCAGATTACTGAACTGCGCAAAGATGACTTTAAGGGGCTGCATCACTTATATGTACGTATCACTCCCTTGGTACAGCCACCTGGATGGTGGATTGCATCCTGTTCTATTTTTGTACACGTTCATGTATCTCGCCATTATGTGAGCTTTTGCTGTGTCTGTGGCTACAGGCCCTGGTACTGGTGAACAATAAGATCTCCAAGATCCATCCAAAGGCCTTCAGTCCCCTCCACAAGCTGCAGAAACTCTACATCTCCAAGAACAACCTGGTAGAGATACCTGTCAACCTGCCCAAGTCCTTAGTGGAACTCCGCATCCATGATAACAAAATCAAGAAGATTTCCAAGGCTGTTTTCAATGGGCTGAACAACATGAATTGCATTGGTGAGAGAAAGGCACTTTACTGGAGTGATACCCAACTGCTGTCCTAGGCATATTCAGGATCATAGTTAGAAAAGCAACAAGCAGACTTTGTGGATTACTCACAAATCTTGGCTTGTTGGAAGCAACAGAGCAGGATCTCAGATTTGGGCACTGACATGAAGGTGTGTGTTTCTGGTTTGTTTGCTTACTCACATGAGTATCAAAAGAAAAGCATCAGTGAATGGGGTGCATATACCAGCATGTTGGTCATTCATAGTAAGCCAGGATAAGAGAGGAATTCTGACTTGCTACTATGTGCAAACACATCCACTCTCTCCCTTCACTAACTCATGAAAGACACAACCCATCCAAAGGTGAGGAGGCCACTGATTTCAAAGAAAAAGTTAAGTACACCCATACGAGTAAGTCCCTCCTGCTGGGTCTTGAAAGTGCTTAATTGTTCCTAAGTCATGCTTATAGTTAGTCAGGATTTTGGGAACTTGTTTACATCTTATAATTTTCTAGAATCCTACTCAAGCATTTTAGGCTGTATATGTTTTTTCATCTGTGTCATAGGAGATGGCATATCAAGAAAAAAATTTTTCTGCAGATAATTTAAAATCTGTTTCATGCTGCAGTTAGGATTAAAGGGGTTGGATCTGATATGGCTGAGTACTATTTTTCTACATGAGCTTATTCCCCTCTTTGCAGAGATGGGTGGAAACCCCCTGGAGAACAGTGGATTTGAACCTGGTGCTTTTGATGGCCTAAAGCTGAACTATTTGAGGATCTCAGAAGCTAAGCTCACTGGTATACCCAAAGGTATTGTCCTGCCACTACCTGCAATGCAGTTCCTGGCTTTTCTCAATGATTGATGTCACCTTCTTGTATTTGTTAGCTCTCTGAGAATATAGCATACGCTTGTGTCTTTTTATGGTTTGCTTTGGAATGACCCTGTCTTGTGGTGAAGAGAGTGCCTGCTGCAAACATTCCGTGCCTTTTACCTCCCTGGGTTTGGCCACTGCACAAAAGTTTGCTACCAAGATGGGAAGGGAAAAGCTGATTTGCAAGTAATGCAAACTTCTGGACTGGGTGAGGCTTATGGAAAGCTGGTCAGCATGGGGAAGGCGCCTATGTCCAGAGCAAGCCTGGGAGGAATAGGGATCATGGCTTTTGGTCCCATAGCACTTCCTGGAACAACATGATTTGTGTGTGGGCACCTCTTGCTCCCAAGACTAGGGGTGGAGAGATTTCAAGCCTGCCGGATCTACTTTTGTTTTTGTTTTTAACTAGGATCCTGTAATCTACCCATTGGAGCCATGTGAAAAATATTGGCTCAGGAGGATGGATGTACAGCAAGAATGAAGGAACAGCATTCCTTCAAATGCATGCTCAGCCCAGGCATTTGCACCTGGCACCAGAACCACACTCAGAGTTCTGTCATGTGAAGGTCCATCTCTGGCTCACCCCCAGCTCTTCTTTTTTAGCAACCACATGGGAAATGGGAGGGAAGAGAAGATTTCTTGTTGCTACTGTTGTTAGACAATGGGGAGTCAGAAACCCTTGCTGGTCTACTGCAGATCACCAAGAGATCTAACAATAGATCCAATCGACCTTCGGCCCACCTCTGCTTTGGCCATTGTAAGCACTGGGGGCAACCCCAACAAGCGACATGTTGGTGATACTCCAGCCTGAGGGTGCAGCAGGATTTTCCCTGGCTACTAAAATTGGTGCGATGCTGTGGCAGCAATTTGCGCCTCCTGGATGCAAGCCACCCCTTCCAAACATGTCGGATCTGCTCAGGATTCCAGCTTGGCGGTGTGGGGGAGGTTATTTGCCACCACCAGCAGCAGGACCCTTTCTGTAGGAACCCTCAAATTAATAGAATTCCTACCTGCAGAAATCCATATGGTCTCCCCCGGCTCTCAGTAGCCAGCTAAGCTGTATTTCAGTTGGGGCATTACCCACTGCTTTGCCCTGTTTTACTGTGCTTGCTGCACAGTTTTTCATATTGTTGCTTTTGGATTGTTGTACACTGCTACGGACCTTTGGTGAAAAGTGATAAAGGAATAATATCTTCTTGCACCTCTTCTCACAACCAGATCTGCCTGAAACACTAAATGAGCTACATCTGGACCACAACAAGATCCAGGCAATTGAATTAGAGGATATGATCCGCTACCCCAAAGTCTACAGGTAGTGTGAATTCTGAAGTAACTCTGCTGCAGATGCTGGGACTGCACAGATGCACTGGGGCTGCTATGCAGGGGAGGCTCAGCTGGGCCCCACCAAGGCCTCACCTCCACAGGGCCCACAAACAAAAGCCTACCCCTTGTTTCACCCCTGTGATCTGTCTCTCTCTCTGGCCCAGGCAGCAGCTGCTGTGGCAGAGAGGAGCAGGAGCAGCAGGTGTTGTTGCCTGCCTGCTGTTCGGTTCCCTGCCTGTCATGCCAGCGATTTAGAGTGTGTGCTGTGATGAGCCAGAGGGTGGGGAGCAGCAGCAGAAGGCAATAGTGGTGGTGAGAAGTAGATTCGCCGTGGGAGGGCCCACTGATTCTGCCTGCTCATTCCCCTGCCTGGAGCCCCTCAGACAGAACAAGAAGTGTGAAGTTCTGAATGCTGCTCTGAGACCTGGGCAACTTAAAAGAAAGCTTTCCTGGCACCAGGACTGGCCTGCTCTGAAGAAGGCCTGTTCACAGGAAAACTTCCCAGTCCAGTGCTCCTCACAGCAGGCCTGCGGCCTTCCATGCTCCACTCACGAGGGAGCAGCAGCTGGCCACTGTGTTTCTTGAAGAGCTTTTCCAAACACAGTGCTGAACGAGGGTGACAGAGATGGCCTGTGTCACTTGAGGGAGGGAGAGACGACTGCTACGCGTGTGCTTGCGTGCGTGCGTGAGTGGAATCACGTCACCGTCAATGAGTGGGAGCATGGAAGACATAAGGGAGCCTTATGGGACAGGGTAAAAATCCAAGAAATAAATAAATAACTGCACACGCACCTCTTCAGGACTTAATAGCCTCCAACTGCCTGGTTCTTCATTGTATTTCTTGTACACCCAATGCTCTACCATTGTGCACAGCCATATCTGGGGCACAGGCCATCTTTTATTCCCAGTGTATTATATTAAATTATAATATATTTTTTTAATTTTAAAATCATATTTTATTTGATGTCAACACATTTTTACAGGAAAATTCAATCTCATATATCTTGTACCTGTAGTACTAAGATATTGATATTACTACTACTACTACTACTACTACTACTGTTGTTGTTATGCAAAAAATTCACTGATTTTTTTCTGAAATTATTTCTGAAAACATTTCTGAAATTATTGTACTGTTTTAGAGCTAGATGTGCCCCAGTGTGTGTGTGTGTGTGTGTACATGCATATGGAGTGGGAGGGAGGGATAACTAAAATGTTGTGTATGCAAATACACAAGAAAAGTGCATTAAGGTTACCTGTCCCCAAAGTTTTGGGAAGTCAGTTTCTACTTGCCAGTGATGCCCAGAAGCAGCACCATTTACTTCTTGCCTTCACTAGGAGGCGCTATTTGCTTACGAGAAGTATACAACAAGGGATCTTCATTGACCAAGTGTGAGAGGGTGGCCCTGGGAGCACCCAAAGGCAGGGAGGGCCGCATTGGACAGTTTAAGACATGAGCCAAAACTCGATGCAGGTCTGAATTTAATTTATCTAATTTGGAAGTTGCTGAATATTCTTTGTCAGATGCTTTCACAGAAGTGCTAACTCGGTGATTTCTTGACTGGGAATCATGATGCTTAAATCATATCCACCCCAGTTTTGCAGGTGAAAACCGTGACTTGCTTGCATACCACCCGCCTCATTTCAGCTTCGTAAAGAAGCCTACAAACAGTAGAGGCCTACAAACCCTTCAGCCAGCCTGCTGAGAGACTAGCTGTCCAGGACAGCATGCTGGCTTCCAGAGAAGGAAAACCCCTTTCTCCGTAGTCAGCACAAAAATACAGGCTGCTAGTAAAAAAGAATTGCCTTCTATCATGCAGACCCTTGGAGAAGAAAGCGAGCTATCTATTTCCCCGCTCAGCCAGGCGGTTGCACTTCCTTGCAGTTTGTAATGGAAAAAGCTTTTCTTCTTCTACAGGTGGCATGGACCCCAAACAGCCTGGCAGAGGAAGGAGCAATATTTGGCCTCTCCACTGTCAGCATCCTTCCTTTTTTCCATGGGACTCCTAGATAAGCATCTTTTTAATGCAAAGATTAATTTTGCAATGAACTTGGTTATACAGTGGTTGCGGTTTCAAACACATTCAGCATAATCTGACATGCCCAGAGACTGTTGACTGGGGCAGACGGGAATTATAGCTCAAAACATCTGGGGGCACCAGGCTGGGAAGGCTCGTGTTGCGGTTTATGGTGAGGAGAAGATAGAAAATGGAAAGGCATTTTGTGCTTAAGTGTGTGTGTCAGTCTGCAGCAGATGGACTGGAAGCCAGAATGGGCTGCAACTTCCCCTCCCAACCATGGCTGAAATTCTAGCTCAATGAGAAGTAGGTCTCTATATATGAGAGGAGGCTAGTACTGCTAGTCATTGTCAGTCCAGACCAGTACAGTGTGCCACAAACACAAATGAAAACCATGCAAAGCCAATAAATCAAGCAATCAGAAGTTTAGAATAGAATGGTAGCAGAATTGGAAGGGCCTTCAAGGCCACTGAGTTCAATACCCTGCTTTGCTTCCAGCTGTGGTCACCTGTCCAGTTGCAGGCCTGTACCCTTCCTGCTTAGCAAAGGTGACTTGACATGCTACAGAGTGTCTCTTTAGCCTCAAGTGCCTGATCCTGCCTAATCGTGGCAACTAAGCAGGGCCAGGCCTGGTTAGAATCTGGATGGATGACTTGAATGTATGATTTTGTGATTATTGTAAGCCACCCAGAAAGCTTCGGCTGCAGGTGGTATAGAAATGTAGTAGTAGTAGTAGTAGTAGTAATGATAATAATAATAGAAAGTGAATATTTTATCAAAGGATAGAATATAGACTAGGGGTCTCAAACTCGCGGCCCGCGGGCCACTTGCCGGGACGGGCGGGGCACGGGGGAGGGGCCCTGCGGCCTTCAAAGCACCAGCGGCACCTGGGCCGGCCTCTGGATGAGCGGCCCACCACCACCGCAGTGGTGGAACACTTGATGCGGCCCAGCTTCACCCAGACTCTACTTCCGGTGGCCCCCAGGTCAGTTGAGTTTGAGACCCCTGATACAGACAAAGGAAAAATGGTTGTCTGCCAGGAAAATAGGCAAGGGACTATTGGAGACTTTCTCAATCAGGATTGAAAATGGTTTCAGCTGGCAGCACATTTCATCCATCAATTTCTAAATGCTCTTGCTTTTTCAGTTTCACTACAGATTTCAGCCACTAGAGGGAGAAAGAGTCATACTTGTTAGCTGCCAGTAACTTTTTGTTTTATGGTTCTTCCAATTCTTTCCTTGAAACATTCTGATTTGGAATTGCCAGCAAGAGGGAATCTGCTCCCTTTCCCCCTCCCAATACCTGATTCCTGTAGTTACTCACCCACACTGTTTAAAACACAAAACAGCATGAAAAACACCCAGTTCCTTGCTGTAAAATGGAATTGCTCCAACTTAACTCCCACTGATTGGCTCCTAATCTGAATCCTGAGGCCAAACGAGATGCAATGCAGGAGGAGTTCCACGCATAGGACCTTCCAGGGTTTAACAAAAATGTTAATCGCAGCCGAGGGCTTGGATCAGGACCACAGTACTGAGGGAAAAGGGGGCTATTTTTTCTCCTTGCCTCCTCTTTCCCCAGTTAAATCACCACCCAGAGTTGCTTTTTGTGCTGCAAGAAAACCTGTGATACCCGTATGTTTTGCCCCATGGGAAAACAGAAGCTTCAGGGGAAAGTGAATCAGCCCAGAAAAAAGATCGACCTCCCCCTCCAGTCCCTGTTCAGACTTCCTCACTCAGAAGTGTTGGACTACGACTGTCATTATCCTCAGCTATTGCAATGAATGTTGTAGTCCAACAGATCTGGAGGATGTCAAGTGAAGCCTGTCCCCACTGTAACAGCACTTCTCCCACCTAGTTGCTAAAATCACACACATGCACCCTCCCTAACCGTGCCTTTGTTAAAAGCATGGGAAATTCTGTCTGTGTGTCTCCCTTGCCATGCTGTCAGCCTTGGAAATCGAACATTCAGCTTCCATTAAAAGGCTTAAATAGTGTTGTCTGCTCATATCCAGGAAGGTTGGATTTCTGTGCTTCTTTGAAAGCTGGCCACCTATCACACACTGTCTGTAGGTAGGAAGCTAACACAGCTGAGGGAAAAGCTTCCAGTTTTCCCATATGCAGTCAGAGAGTTGCCAGGAGGCCTGTATCACCTGCCCGCTCCTCTAAACACACTCTCTCTCTCTCTCTTAAATGTGTTCCTAGTTATGTTTCTGCTAGCATTAGCACCTGGTCACTAGAACCTTAGATATCTTCCAGGGAAGCAACTGCTCCGCAGCACTTCCCGCCGGTTCACCCACTGGGCTGGTTGACCCTCCACTTCCTCACCCGGAGACTTGCTTGCCAGGCGTATGTGCAGACATATATTCTATATTGCAATCAGCACACCTGAACCTGTCTCTGTTGCATTGGCTGCCGCCAGTGAGGTCAGTGCAATATTTAACACAAAATCAGGCTGGCCTGCCTGGCAGTCTGCTCCATCGGGGAGCAATCCTTTGCCTCTGTACGCCAGCCCAGAAATGATAGAACAAGAGGACCTGCTCCAGCAGATTCCACTTCTGAATTGTTGCATGGACATGCCCTTTGAGGCAAGGGGAGACCACCATATTTTCAGCCACAATATTTGCGAGACAGCAGCATGTTAAATCAGTTCACAGTGAAATCCAGTACACACATGGTTTTAGCAGGCAGCTAGCTGAGCTTACCAGAGAAAGGAATGGGGTAAGTTGACTGGAGGGCACAGGTGAGAGGATTGCTCATCTCCTGCCTTGACAGGTGACTGGAAGTTGTGTTCCTTGTGTCCTACTCTAAGGGGACATCCCTGGATTCCAACTGGAAGGCTGGTCCTTGATCTCCTTGACCGGGACAATGAATGATATTTAAATCTCGTGCTTCACCTTTCATGTTGAATCTATGTTGCTTCTTGATACACTTTCATCTGATATGTCTCTAAAAAGCAAACAAGAAAGGCCTCGTACTTGCCTTACTCCATATATTCCTGCCTGTCCTTTAAGGTCATCAATGGAGGCTCCCCTGTGAGTTCTTCTCCCTAAGCAGGTTAAAGGGGAGGTTGCAAGGTGGACGGCCTTTTCTCTGGCAGCACCTCAGTTATGGAATGCTTTACCCTCAGAGGTTCGTCAGGACCTACTTTATTGAGTTTTAGGCCCCTGACAAAAACATTTCAGCCGCACCTATGGCACCACTTAGATTTTTTTTATTAATTTGGACCAGTTTTAGTTTTTTAAATTGTATTTATTTCTTGGTTATTCATATATTATTTATCCTGTGCATTTTAATTGTATTTTTGTTGTATCATTTTATTTATATCACCTATTGGTAATTTTATTGTAACGGCCACCCAGAGAGCAAGAGGCTAATAGTTGGCCTTCAAACAATCAAATAAATAAATAAAATATAAAGAGCCCCATTTTCTATATCTTAATCTCTAGGCCTCGTTATCTGGTAGATAGTTCTCCCACTTGGGCCCTGGGCACAGCCAAGTGGGCACTTCCCAAGAAGGGGTCTTCCCCTTGTTCCCCACACTGCATCTGTGAGAGCTGTCCAAGTTAGTGCTCTTTCTCTTCCTAAGTCTTTTCCTCCTTGACTCCCTCCCTGCTCATCTGTCTCTCTTTTACAGTTAGGTGGAAATGAAGACAGATAAAGATTTGGTTGCTGCAATGATTTGACATGGTGCAGAAGAGATAAGGAGAGCCTTTTAGCCCTCCGTTTTAAGATTAGCAATTCATTTCACCTCTTTCCCACTGTGCCACCCACCTCTGCAATTTGAGGCATCCAGCAATTAAGGAAAGAACTGGGGAAGGAAACGCATCAGAAAAAGCAGAGAAAAATAACTGCAATGGCCTCGGTCTCCTGTCAGGGCCAAGAGCTACCCTGTTCTGAATCCGAATCTGGGCTGGGGCTCCCCTCCTTTGTGTCACTACCAGCCAGAGGCAAAAGATGCCGCTTGGCTGTTTAGGCAAGGTGAGAAGGGCAGCCCCTCGGCATTTACACAAGGCCTGGCCAGTCCAGAGCCCTGCTGCCATCGGCGAGTCGCAGAGGCCTGTGTTACACCACATGCCCTCTTCTACACCTTTGAGGCAACACACGCAGACCAAAGCGCTTCACTTGTGAGAACATGGGAGGGGCCCTGCTGAATTAGGCCAACTCTAACCCTGTGAGAAGCCTGAAGTGGGCCAGGAGTGCAACAAACCTTCCCACTTGTGCTCACCAAAAACTGGTATGCCGAGACACACTGCTTCTGAAACTAGAAGTATTGGTTCATTTATTCTACAGATTTATAGTCTACCTTATTTTTTCCTGTAAGGAATCCTCTTCATCTCAGCCTCACACCAATTCTGTGTGGGAGGCTAAGCTGAAAGTAACTGATTGGCTTAAAGTTACCCAGTAAACTTCATAGCCAAGTGGGGACTCAGAGCCAGTGTGGTGTAGTGGTTAAGAGCATGGGACTGGGACTCAGGCGATCTGGGTTCTAGTCCCCGCTCAGCCATGGAGCCAACTGGGTGACTTTGGGCCAGTCACAGACTCTCAGCCCAGCCTACCTCACAGGGTTGTTGTTGTTGTGGGGATAAGATGGAGGGGGAGAATGATGTAAGCTGCCTTGAGCCCTTTGTAGGAAAAAAGGCAGGATAGAAATCGGAAAAAAAAAAAAAATCCTGGGCCACCCAAATCTCAGCCCAACACCAGCCAGCAAGCTGCACTAACTTTCTAGTATATAGCCAATGGGACAGATAGCCTAGGCCAGGGATCAGCCAGGTTATGTTATAGCCTTTACATGAGGTTTTTGGCTGAAGCAAGTACAGGAGTGAAGCCTTCACACTTTCCATCCTCATTCTTCAAATGCCCAGCCTACATGCTCCTTTAACCTTCATGATCTGTACTTTGAGAACAAGTTTGGGCTTCCACTTTTGCAATGCAGAGGTTATGCATTGGCGGCACACTGAATTCCTATTTTCTTCTGATTTCCCTCCTTCCCACAGGCTGGGGCTGGGGCACAACAACATCCGGATGATTGAGAATGGCAGCCTGGCTTTTCTGCCTATCTTACGCGAGTTGCACTTGGATAACAACAAGCTGTCCCGGGTCCCTCCAGGACTGCCTGACCTCAAGTTTTTGCAGGTACCAGGGTTTTTTGAGGGGCAATAAAAATGCATGTATGTACGTGACGGAGCTGAGCCAATATAGGAATGACTGTTTTGCACCAGCCGGTCGTCATGGCCTTGGCTTTGCAGGCAAGAGATCTACAGCAGGCATTTTTACAAGCACTGTCACACCTGACTCCCTGGTGTCCTGCATGGCGCCCACCCCACCCCACCCTCTTTGTGCTCTTTCTGCCATTATATGCTGGATTTCTTCAGGCCACTTATAGCAAGCTGAATTTATGCACTGCATAAACTTGCAGAACTGTTCTGGGGGTGGTTGGGAAGGAGTGGGCTTGTGGACTAGTGGGTCCTGGGGGAGTGGTGATGCAACGCAGAAGTGTCTGCCGGGCTTCAACAAAGCTGCAGGGACGCCGAGAAGGCAGGAAAGCCGACCACCATTCAGTTGCTCTCCTGCCTCCCTTGTTGCCCCCCCCCCCCGCCCATGGCTTCCTTCTCCTCTCTCTCTGACTAACCTGTTGAACTGGAAAGCAAATGCAATACTGCTTTCCCCTCTGCACCAGTAAGGAACAACGAGCTGGAAATATGCCTATATGCATGCCAACTTACCTTCAGTGGTGAATACTCAGGAGGAAATTTGCTTCAGTGGCACTAGCTCTTGGGAAAGCTCACGTGGGAGAGGGGCTGCCCTTTGTTTGGAAATGGATTCAGAGGAATAGGGGTACAGATGCCACTGGCCTCACCCCACAAAAAATGGGAGAATTGTGTCGGGCAACATCCCATCTTTGCCCGCCATCCTCTTCTCTTTCTTTGTGATTTTTTTCTTGGAGGCCTGGAGGAACACTCAATTACATTTTCTTCATTTGGAAAAATTTCCTTTGCATTTGTGCATAGCTTAAGGGTCGAAAACTCTTTTAGTAGTGTCATTTCCCTGCACACATCGCCTTTCCAACTCCTCCTGCTTCTCCCACAGCTGAATTTGGTGGGGTGCAGTAGAAACTGCTTTATTCATGAGGCTGTGCCTGAGCAGCTGCCGATCCCTTTGCATAAGTACTGTCACAGCGCCCCCTAATGAATGGAAGGTGCACTGCTGTAGATGTGCACCTTCCATTCATTAGGGGGCGCTGTGGCAGTACTCTTGGACACAACCATATCCTGGTCCAAGAGAGTGCATCTCACTTGGATCGCTCCATGGTGGGGCCCCATGAGAGACTCGGTGTGGGGGATGGCTCTATGTTTCCATGCTTTGCCCTTCTCTCTCCTCTCTGTTGTGCCTTTGCTGCCCTCATCCCTCTCCGCCATGCCCTTCCTAAGCCAAGTTGCCCAGGTCCTTCCCACTCCTGCAAGCCAACAATTCTGCAACAGGTCAATTCCGCAATTTCACCATGATTCGTAAAAAAAGGATACCTATAGCCACAGGTGTTGATGAATGCTATAATTCCATGAAAACATTGTGCAAATTAAATAATCATGCTAATAATATTTTAATTATAATTTAATTTTAGGCTCCACAGCCAAAACAAACTTCAATAGTGCCATAAAAATAACATTTAAAATATTCCACATAGTAAAACATAAGATTAGGGATGCAAATGATATACCCATTTGTCTGGGAATTAATCTCTTTGGACTCAATAGGGCTTCTAAGCAGACTTCTGCAGAACTAAATAAACTATATAAATGTATTGGGTCCACAATTCTGTACTCTTGAACTCACAGCATTTCTCAACCGGCAAAAACAACAAAAACGCACCAAGTTTCCAAAGCTTGGTTTCCTTCTGCTAAAACATACTTCTTGTCCAATACGTGAACAACACCTGAAGAAATCTCAGAACGTTGTTTGAAAACAAATAACACTAAGAAGGGGAAATGTTTCAGCTTTGGGTCATTTGTCAAGTACTTGGGTACATAGCTTAGCTGGTTTGTTGCTCTGGGCTGGTCTTACCCAGAAAGAGCAGAGCACTTTCCCTCACACATGGCCACCCAACCTTTAAAATCATCAGAGGACACCTTGCCATCATTCTGAGATTAACAGCTCGGTTTTTCAGTACCAGTAGCAGAGCCCACCCTCTGGAAGACTCCCCCTCGTGCAGTTCAGGATGCAGAAAATGCAGCCTCCTGAAAACGTATTTGTTCAGCCTAGCTCTCCCTGTCTCATAATGAAATGCAGCCTGTTTTATAGCTCTCTATTGCTCTGTATTTCTATTTTTATTGGTATTATTTTGAAAATTTTAATGTTTTAAAATTTTAATGTTAATGTTTTAAATCTTAATATTTGTGTGGAAACTGCATAGGGATTTTATTGCACTAAGGGCACAATTCAAGGGGGATGCCCATGAGCCTCCAGAGCTGGAGGATTATGTCTTTCTGGGAAGGACAGAAGCACAAGGGTGATCTTCTTCTCTCCACTCTCCCACTTCCTGCAAATCAATTAAAAGACCAGTGTTGGCCACTGAGCTGCAGTACTTCTGAGTGGGGAGAATAAAACTAGAGTGCCACCAGGATGCCTCCTACCCCAGCAGTCCCAGTCTCCTCTCCTCCCTGCCCTGTGGAATGCCCTCTCTGCCGCTTGTCCAAGGTCTCTCTTCTGTCCTTGGAGCAGCGGTGGGCACGCTCTCTCTACCGCGTGGAGAGCCAGCTCCGAGGTCAAAGTGACTTTCGGGTCTGGGAATCAGAAGCATCCTGTCACCCTCTGGATGCTGTTTAGAGGCCACAGGTTTGCTCTTTTAGGGGTGAATATATACCACAAATAAAGAAATAAATAGAGAGAATGGACAGATGTGACACAGTCTTTTCAGGCAGAATTTCCACAGTGGGCACTTTTTTCCTTGCTCCGGCTGCCTTGTTCAACATTGTGGGAAGGTCAGGTATCATTCTGATCTTTCATCGCCTATACAAAAATACATGAGGCCATTGTTAGCTCTGTTTTAACCTAGCAAGTGCTAATCTTTTCCTGAAATGGCTTGCACTGTGTATGAAGGTGAGTGGGGTGGGGTGCTGTGGGAGGGAGTAAAGACTCCCCTAAGGCATCTTACTAAGAAAAGTTGACTTGTGCAAAGCAAGTAAATCTGCATGATTTCATATTTGTACAACTTATTTGGCAGTTCTTACCATTTTGCAAAATTTATTTCTCTCTACTATGGGGAAAAGCAGAGATCTATACAAGGCTCTGCAGCCCTTCTATTCCCCAGAAATTGTATTCAGCAACTACTCTGACTTCCGAGATTTCATCAGATGTGCATCATGTATTTTAAGCATGTTTTTAAAACAACAGGGAGTAGGAAGTTGCTTTACAAACAAACCACAAGGTGAGATTCTCAGGAAGCTGCGCACTGGGACCAGTACCATCTACTGCATTTTTTCTGAACAATTCAGCATGAACGCAGACCTGCGCTTTCCTTGCAAAACCTTGCAGGACTTGAATTGTTCTATCATAGGATGGTTCTTTGAGTCTTCAGCCGCTTTATGAGCTGATGAAAATAAGCAGCTGACCATTCACCTGTAACGCAGTCTGAATTCTCTCCCTGCAGGTTGTGTACCTTCACTCCAACAACATTACTCATGTCGGCGTCAATGACTTCTGTCCCATTGGCTTTGGGGTAAAGCGTGCCTCATACCACGGCATCAGTCTCTTTGCCAATCCCGTACCCTACTGGGAGGTTCAACCAGCCACCTTCCGCTGCGCCACTGACCGCCTGGCTATCCAGTTTGGCAACTACAAAAAATAAATAAAAAGAGAGAGAAGGGTGCTGGGGAGGGGGAGGGGGGGAGGGGGGAACAAAGAAAGCCAATGGGGAAACTGGAGGGGTGGGTGGGCATGGGAAGCAAGGACCATTCTGGGGAGGAGGGGTCAATAAGAGGAAATTGAAGGGTTATTAAAGAGAGTTGGGCAGAATGCCAGACAATGCCCAGGGAAGGGAAGGGAAGGGAAGGGAAGGGAAGGGAAGGGAAGGGAAGGGAAAGAAGTACATACTTCCAAAAGTATGGAAGGAAAGAGGCACAGATCGTACCATTTTGATCAGCTTTGTATCAGCCTACAGTTGCCCTGCACCTGAAATTGTGACAGACAAAGAAGCACGGGCTTTGCCCTTCCTACGGATGAGGTGGTAGAGAATTCTTGGGGCATCTGCTTGCAGGCATCTGCTTGCCCCTCAGCTGAGAATCCTCCCCATCATTGTGGCTCTTTTTTGGGGTGAGGGAGGCCCAGCCAGGTGAGTGACAGTAGCTGTCCCCTTCCATCCAGCCAGGTCTTTCATCAAGAGACCCTAGAAGTTCCTGTGATCACACAGGGAGGACCCAGTGGTGTGGCCCCAGCTAACAGCCCCGTTCCCCACCTGCAGAGCTGGGGGTTCATCGAGGCCAAGTTCCCCATGGGCAGCCCCAGTGCATTTGTGACCCAATTGCTATTAGGTCTGTTGGGATCTCTGGGTCTTTGAGTGTCGAGCCTGGTGCCCAAGCAGTTGTGGGATGGAGCCTAGCAGTGCCAACTCGGGGCAGAAGGCGGGGCCTGGCAGATCAGTGGAAGAGCTTGGCTGCGCCTCTTGCCTCGGCGTGGAGCCTGACACACATCCGGGGAGAGGCAAGGAGCAGAAGTGTTAAAACCAAATGGGAAAAGATGCCACACACTATCCCTTCCCTTGAAGACTGTGAACATTCAGGTGAGCTATGAGATGCTCCAACCCTGGTCAAAGGCACGAATCTCAGTAATTGTTACCCAAAACTATTTGTGCCCCATCCAAGGCCTGCGGGAGGAAGGAAATGAATGTAGACTGTGTGGCTGGACTGCAGTTCCCATCATAGACAATGACATGGTATGATGGGAGTTGGAGTCAACATGTGGTCTGTTCCTCACCCTGATCATCTGACATCCCTGGGGAAAGAAGGGCCATTGCCACAAACCCCAGCTAAAACAATTTGTATATTTATAATATATATTATATATATATATTAGAATGAATGTACTTAAAAGAGTGAGGTTAGACTTTAAGGCAAGATCCAACTTCCTCCGGAGTAGGAGGGAAAGGGAGTTATGCATATATACTATAGGGGTAGGCCCCACCAATGAAGGATCCTATGTCACAGCTAACCATTTTGCACGGCTTCTTAGATCTTTTGACCCAGCAAAAATTGTGTACAAAAAAGGCCAGTTTATATGTGATTGGGGCTGCAATGGAATAATTTGGGAGAGGGGAACTCTCATTTTTCTTCACTTCCTTACCCCTACCCCTTTGTAGCCCGGAAATGCATGGTGGAATCCTCACTTTCGTTAAAGGAACCCTACTCTGGTTCCACTTGCTTCCCATGTGGATTGCAGTGCCAAGGCTATGCACAGCCTTCTACGCAAGGCCTGGCAATCTTTGTGGCTTCATCTCTAGTCCATTAATGTTAACTGAGTAGCACTGTGGGGCCTTAAATTGCATTTTCTTGTCCTTTCTTAAACTGTCAGCAGGTGGAAATATAACATTACTTAACAATTCAGTTCGAGACCTGGTCAAAAGGGGAGTCACGGAAAGGACAGGGTGGGGGCAGTTGCCCAAATACAGACTAGTGACTGATCCAGCCGTTTGTGTTCAAATAGCTAACAGGCTCGTTTGCATCTCACAGTCACCTGTTTGGAACAATACAAGCAATTTTAATGGATAATGGTACCTATTTTCTGCAGAATCTTGTGGCTGAAACCTTTCGTAGTGAATTTGACTTCTAAGCATTTGACTTTCTATTTGGATGTAGAAGTACCTTCATAAGTCTTTCTTTGCTCTCTCTCTCTCTTTGACTTTTAAAATCTCTCTTTGGGTTAAACCATGTGCAATATTAACTTCTGTAAAGGTGTCCAATAAAGTTAGCGATAATTGCCTTTTAGCTGTTGCAGATTGTTTTGTGCGGGTGGCTAGAGGGAAATTGCAGGCAGACCAATGGCTACTTTGTATGCTACATTATGTCCTTGCAAAACTAAGATTTAAAATAAAAGTACACCTAGAAATGTCAAGTGTGTGTGTGACAAGCAGGTGATTGAAAACATGTTTCTGTTGCACAGATGTGTCTTATGCCTGGGACTGCAGTGGAGAAGCCGAAGGAGGGATCAGCTACAGCAGGAGGGGGCATGCCTGTTCCACGCTCAGGCAAAAGGGCTGGGAAGCCAGTGGGTGGCACTGCGGGAAGGAGCAGCGCTGCTCTGCAGATCCCCCTGCATTTCCTACACACGTGCCTGAGGGAAACCTCTCATGTGTGCACACGGGGGCGGGGGGGGGAATGACCCAGGCAGTGGAGACCGATGGGGGCATCACCACCTGGCTGGTTCCCCACCTGCTGCCACTCACATGTATGCCTGAGGGGGGCCCAGTGGGGTGCCCAGTAGGGGTTCCCCTGCTCAACCTCCTTTCTTTCTCAGCTTGTGAAAGAGGCACCCCCAAGCTCCCTCCCAGCTGAGCACCTTTCTTGCAAGTGGCAGTGATGAGCAGAAGGAGGCATCACCCCTTTGTGGGCACCGGGCTGGGAGCGCCTCCCCAGCAAGTAGCAGCAAGAATGGGGAGTGCCAGTGGAAACAGCTGAGCAGCACAGCCCTCAGCTCAGCACGCTGCCCAGCTCACCCCTTGCAATCACACACGGTGGGTGTTGGGGAGGGTTGTGTTTTTCCGGTTTGGATGATATCACAAGCCATTGTGGTACCAAGGAACCAATGAACAGACAGTTGTTTCTGTTCATGCTTTCTAAAAACCACACTGAAATACCCCCATGGGGTTCGAATGGCATGACAAACCAACAGTGGAAACAGAACACCATGGTGTGTTGTGTAATGTGAACCTGCCCAATGATTATCAGCCTGTGGATAGAAAAGCTCTCAGGGTCTATTGTGAGTGACAGCTAAAGCATTGTGTTCAAACCTGCTGTCCTTTCAGTGACTTCAAAACTGAAGGGAGAACTTGAAATCTTTTCCTCTGTCTCATTCTAGGACAACTGAATGGGGTAGATTTATGCAAAGGACAGTTACCATATAATTTTTATTTAAAGAAGTGAACTTAATAACAGCTTCCCTAGAGCAATAATACAGAACTTACTGATAATGAGTAACCTAAGATGTAAATAACGTTTTCATGAAAATAATTCTTTTCTTCCATGTCTGTTTCTCCCATCCCTGAGGCTTATTAAAGATGTAGTAAGAAAGTTTAATTAGAGTTTTAGGGAGCAGTGGAATATAAAGGATACATTGCTAATGTGAATTTATAATCAAGGCAGAGGGAAGATTGGTAACCAGATCTTCCACAGCTTGGGTAAAATTGGTGGGATAAAAATCTATGAGTTTGCCACATTTAGTGTCCTACAGGTGGAAATGATGAAGCACCACACCATTCCTTCTCTCCCTCAATTTGGTGGTCTCAGTGGGGTATAAGTGACCTAACTTTCCAGACTGACTGCCCTCTTACAAAGCTTTGAAGAATAACACATTGCACTTCTGAAGATGAACAACTGGTCCTGATGAGGCTTTAATTGTTCAGTCATTTAGCCTCTTCCATGGAATTTTATGGTGTGGGAATGTCTCCAGACAAAATCTTCCATTTATCTCTTGTGCTGTTCTCCAACTACTTCTTCTAATTTTTTAAACCATACAAATTAGTTAAAAAGAGAAAGAAGGAACAGATGAACCAAGTTAGGGCTCAATAGTTCCAGGAAATGTCCATCATTCTGAAAGCACTGCTCATCCCAGGCCTCTTGATGTCTTTTTTGCCCTGTTCTGGACATGTTCCAATCTTACCAGAACTAGCACATATGTGACATCATAGTCAAAGCAGAAGAGAGTGGTGCTATGCCTACAGCTTTAAATCTTTAGGAATGTCAAAATCTCTGCTGGAAAAATAGGCACTGTGAAAAAGCTTCAGGGAAGGCAATTCTCAGTATCAAGAGCAATCCTATACAACAAGAAAAGCTTTTGCTAGGCATTTTCAGTGTTTAGAATGAAGACTTTTTAAAGTTGCCTTACCAAATACCAAATTGCACAAATTCAGGATTGTGAAAATACGTATTTGTTTCATCTGCTTCATTCTTCTGTGACCTCAGCGTCTCAGACCTAAGGTAACAGTTGAGGGTCTTGATCTGCAAAGTGATGAAGGTCTCCTCAAGCCCATTGTTTGTTTATTTATTAGATCAATATCCTGTCTTTTTTTTTTTAACAAAGAACTCAAAGCAGCTTGTATCACTCTCCTCCTCCTGCTCTCTATGTTATCTCCACAACAACCCTGTGAGGTAGGCTGGGCTGAGAGTCTGTGACTGGCCCAAAGTCACCCAGTTGGCTTCATGGTCAAGTGGGGCCTAGCACCCAGGTCACCCGAGTCCTTACTCGCCAATTGCTGAGTGGGAAGGGCAGGATTCTGGTGCTTTACTTTGACTGAAGAGTACTTGTGTGAGACCTGGGAAATGTTTCAGGAAGCACCATTGAACTCTGGCATTTCTTGCATTTCTAAGGATGGCTCACTTCCTGCTGTCTCTGCACATGTACATAGTGCTATTAGGTGTTGTAAGGGGTAGAGGGAAAGCTACCCCAGATCATTAGGCAATCTTAACTGAAAAATGTACCTTTGGAGCCAAGATCTTGAAAAAACTCTGCTGGGCCAAATGTACTGGGTTTCTTTTAATCTGGCAAACCTTTCACAAGAAGATGTTTCTATAACTTGCAGGGATAGGTAATTTGTGGCTCTCCAGACTTGTTGGATTACTGCTTCTATCATCCCTCCCCACTGACGATTC